GGCGCGGAGGGCGACCAAGGGGAACAACAGGAGGTTCCGCCTCGATTTCCTCTTCTTCCCCCCTTTGGTCCTCGCGGGAAGCCCCCCAGCCTTCGCCGGAAGTGCCCCGTCCTCTTGGCTCGCCGCCAGATGCGGCGCCCCATCTGCCGGTGTTGCCACCGGTTGCTGCTCCCCATCCGCCGGTGTCGCTCGTGCCCCATCCACCGGCGCTTCCCCACCCCCCTTCATTGGAGGGACTCTCCTCTTCTCCCCATCTGCTCCAGATGAATGTGCCGCGCGATTCCGCAAGACTCTGTTGGCGAAGCTCTTCCACTTCGCGACGCGCCAGTTCCTCCTCTTGCGCCACGATAAGTTTTTTTGTAGAGTCGCGCTGGTGAGAGTAGATATCCAGAAATTTCTCCTTTGTGTAGGGTCGTGGGACTCCGTGTGCATCGAAGGTGCCGACGCTGGTGCCGCGCAGCATGCCCCAAAGATGTTGTGATGCAGGTCTGGGGGGGGGATTTTCCTCCGTGCCGAAGACGACGCGTGTGGCAGTTTCAAGCTCCAGGTTGGACAGTCCTTTGACAGCCGCCTCGTTCTCCTCCAGTGCTGTACGTAGACAACAAGGCCATGCTGGCCTTGTGTCGAGAGCAGCGCTTGGAGCACAGAACGAAGCACATTGCTCTCCGTTACTTTCTTGCTCGTGAGCTGCAGCAGCGTGGTCAGTTGCGACTTGCTTACGTGGCCTCTGCGGCCAACACTGCTGATGTGTTCACCAAGGCACTTGCGCCTTGTGACCATCAGCGCTTCTGCACCCAGCTGGGTCTTGTACCTGTCTTGCCTCACTTGCTCTCTTCTTGACCTTGCTTGTACTGTTACATATATATACCTGCTCTTGCTTGTCTAGCTCTATATGTATATGTGTACTCCTGCATGTGAACTGGCCTTGTGGCCTTGTCGTTGTGCTCGGACTGTGTGGTGACTTTGTGATCCACCCTGAGCTTGCTCTGCTTTGCTTGACTGGTCTTGTGACCCCTTGTTCTCCCCCACTTTGCCTATGGGGGTGTGTCAGAACATTATATAGCTTATGCTGTTGTGTAGGCTATAGCGGGGTATCCCATAAGGGGTACAACCCAATTAGGGTTTCCCATATGTACTCACTTCATTCATAGTTCAAACATTCTCGTTCTTATTTCACACGACTCACGCTCCAGACATACCTTGCCAACCTGCAAGAAGACCAGGATCCCACAGGTGGTTTTCGCAGTGACCGAGCCTTCGCCTCAGCAACGGACGAAGCTGACTGGGACGAGCAGAATGTGGACAACGCATCAGAAGAAGCCGGACCTCTTCCGTTCTGCTCCGTGGACGTTCCCATGGACGAAGATAACCCTCGCGAAAGTGTCAGCGCCGAAACCTTCTACTATTTCGCCGACAACGGTTACGTAACACCTGCGACAGTCAACACCAACGAAGCAGAACGAGTAGGACCCAACTTCATACCTGATCCAGAAGCGGGAGATGAAGCAGCTTATCCCGAGGACGCAAATCTTCCCCGCTACTCACAGAGTGGACTGCAAATTCTCGGACTCGTCACCGCAGTCCACGGCACCGCCATTCCTAAAGAGCCTGCGACGGTTCAACAGGCTCTGGGGGGGGAGCATAAGGAAAAATGGCGCGAGGCCATGGACAAGGAGCTGAAGGCACTGGAGGAACGCAATACGTGGAAAGTGGTTCCTATCGAGGTGGCACGGAACAAGACAGTGCTCACCGGGAAGTGGGTCTTCCGTGTGAAGACAAAGGCTGACGGCACCATTGACAAATTTAAGGCTCGCTGGGTTGTACGCGGCTTCGACCAAGAACACGGACGCGACTTCACCGAAACTTTCGCTCCGGTTAGCCGCCACACCTCACTACGCATTCTCCTCGCAATCGCCGCCATGAAGAAGAAGAAGCTGCGACAAATTGACGTCGCGAACGCGTTTCTCTACGCACCTGTTGATGCAGAAATTTTCGTCGAGCTACCGCACGGCTCCCACAGAGAACCCAACCAAGTCTGCCAGCTACTCAAGTCACTCTACGGCATCAAGCAGGCTCCGCGACTGTGGCAACAGTACCTGCACACTCGCCTCATCCGCATCGGCTTCAAGCAACTACCGCACGATCAAGGCATGTACCGGCTCACAAAAAACGACGACTACATCCTACTAATCGTCTACGTGGACGATCTCCTTTACATCGGCTCGAATGACGGCATCACTACCTGGTTCGAAGGGGAGCTACAGCGAGATCTCACGCTCACAGTTTCATCTACCGTCACTCAGTACCTCGGCCTCAACATCCGGGAAGAGGAGGACGCGATCTACCTCAGCGCCGAGAAATATGCCGACACCATCGCCAAACGCTTTACGCTCACACCGACAGCCATCTCCACGCCATACCGCTACACGGCAGGGAACGACAAAGGAAGCTCCGCTCTACTCAAGCCCGCCGGCATACGAGACTACCAGAAGAAGCTGGGATGTCTTCTCTTCGCAGCCGTCACCTGTCGCCCCGACCTCTCATACTCCGCAAGCCAGCTCGCCACCTACCTCAAGAAGCCTGAAGCAGAACATCTGGCGGAGCTCGACCGCACTCTTCACTACTTCGTCAGCACCCCAACGATCGGCCTAACTTACTACAAGAACGCAACCACACCGACTAAGTTAATCGGCTACGTCGACGCTGATCACGCTGGCGACTCCGATAATAGGCGCTCCCGCACCGGCTACATCTACCGCCTCGAACCTATCGGACCCATCTCTTGGCAGTCAAGCAAGCAGGAATTAATTGCTCTCTCGTCAGCTGAAGCAGAATATATTGCACTCTGCTCAGCCACCAAGGAAGGACTCTATCTTCGCGAGCTGCTAGAAGAAGCGAAGTTAGCCGAGTTACCCAACTTTACCCTGTTCTGCGACAACCAGTCAGCAATTCGCATCGCCAACAAGAACGGCTTCGCAAACAGGACAAAACACATCGCCCTGCGATATTTCTTCGTGAAGGACGAGATCGAGAAGGGAAGGCTCGAGCTGTCATACTGTCCCACGTCTGAGATGGCAACTGACTACCTGACCAAGAAGCTCGGAAAGCAGAAGTTCGAATACTGCATGTTGCTGACTGGACAGAGCCACGTCAGCGACACTCCAGAAGCGAAGGGGAGTATTGGAAACAATCGGTCCTAAGCGCCTCTGTCGTGTCGAAACACTAAGACACAAAAGAAACGAAGTATAACGAATCACCGACGAGTCAACCCTCGGAGGTTGAAAGTAACTGTTGGAGGTTACGCGAAAGTCAAAGGTCAGCGACCTTTGACCTGACAAAGTACAGCGCGACAGCAAGGACAAACAACTGACTCGGTATTGAGCAGTTGCCCGAGTCGTCACCGTATCGAACCGCAACAGCAATAGTAAAACGGTTATTAACTGTATCTCTTCGTATTCCTTGTACTCTTATAAAAGCTTGTATCTCTTTGTTTTAATCAACTTACTTTGCCCTCACATACTAGTGCAAGGTGGTTCACAACTCTTTAATTAACGCTTCCGCTACTACACCAACTCTACCCAGAGTTCACCCCTGCAAAGATCCAAAAGGGGTTTTCAGCCCAACACTTGTGTCCGCACTGCAGATTTTGACTACGGCCTTCCAGCAAGAAACTGGTATCCACGCCATGCCACATGTGCACGATGCCTGTAATCTGCTGAAACTCTTGTGTTTTATTACCAATGATACTGGTACCGTATTCTCCCGGACATAGCACCCTAGGGTATAGCTAAAAATACAGGGAAAAAATGGGGGGGGTCTCCTCATAGGAAAAAAATACATAATACCCGGGTCTTTACATATGGTATATTTCAGTGTTAGTGTTTATTTAATTAGACAATGTGGGTGTTTTGATTTTCATTTTAACATCACTGTCTGAGGCGCGAATGTGGGTTTCGGCCACGAGCTTCATCACCCCTCGAAAATGCCATGTGGCACCTCTCTTGCCACTTGCAGCGGAAGATTCGCATGCACGTGGTCACAGCGAAGTAGTGCGAGGGGGGAAATCTCGGTAGATTGTAAGTGAATGTACCGCGAAATTTCATCTAGGGAGAAATTTTCGCGATATTCTTCAATATTGCAGCTACTCGTTAACGACTATTATAACGAATTCGTAAGAAAAGGGGGGTGTTATAGAAAATCAGCAAAAAAGGGGGGTATAGTAGAAACGAGGCTCCCCATAACACCCACCCCGCACAAGCTACCCGGGGGTGTACAATTATGGGGGGGTGTTTTGTCCGGGAGTATACGGTAACAGAAATCAGCATGTACGGTTTGAGCGTCAGCAATTCCTACCTTCTGAAGCTGCTCAAAAGAGAGGGAAGAGAAGTGGTACGGTAAGAGCTACTGGGCATCCGAGCAGCAATAGGGTAGGAATGGGTTAAACTCTTTCCCACTGCAATGAGTGCTACTGGTGAAATGATTTTCTTCAGTCACAGAGGGTTGTCTTGTCTCCACAGCACTTGGCATGGCATATACCGGTAGCAGACATTCATTCATACCCACCTCTTGCAACCCCTTGCCACCAGAATGTGTCTAAGGCAAAAATGAGGAGACTATGCAGCACAGGATGGATGGAAACGTCCATTCTCTTTCCACTTGCCAGTCCTAGTCATACATCGCCTGGGGCAGCCCAGAGAAATCTGCAACACACACAGGCACTATGGCTTTCACTCGCATGCTTCCACAGGTGCGAAATTAGCAGCTTGATTGCCAGCATGTGGGTCCCAGCCATCCGTCTCCCCCACCAGAGTCTGATTGCATGATGCAGCCCCGTGAATTCTGCAACACAGTTGCCACTTCTTTCACTCACATTCCTTCCCCAGGCGTGAAATCAGCAGCTTCATTGCCAGTGAGTCGGTCTCAGCCATCCGTCTCCCCAACCAAAGTCTTCACACACAGAGCAGCACGGTTAATAATGCAACACATCAGTCACACGTCATTTACTCTCTGCTTTGCTTCCCCAGGTGTTGAATAAGCTGCTTCACGTCTCCCCGTAACTTGGTAACCGCTGCCGCATCCACCCCTTTGGCTGAGCTCTCCAGCTCCTCCGCCGATGCTTTCCCCTCGGGGGCAGCAGATGCCGTCTCGCAGAGGGCCGTTGCTATAGCGAGTACGTACACCCCACAGTCATACCCGTTTAGCTGTTGAGGTGTAGATGCTGACTGGAAAGTGTCGTCAGTCACAGTAACACCTGTCAGGAATAGGAACAAATAAACAAGAATGAAAGAATGTCAAGAGGAGGCATGAAAGTGATATAAAAACTAGGAAATATATTTCACACACACCACAACGCTTCTACACTTGAATGCCCCTAACGCAAACGCTCCTATACCAAAACGACCCAACGCCAGAAAACAAACCCATAAAAATGCACCTAGGAGGGCTTGAAGCTTCTCGGCAAGCCCCTTAGCTGCCTCCAAGTTGTGCGAGCCGGCGCTGTCAAAGTGGAGGAAGAGACGACGCGACCTGCGGTCGGGAGGGGAGAGGAGAAAGAGAGAGGGAGGGAGGGTGTGGACAGGCAACGCATGGAGGGGAGCAGATTGTGCGAACCAGCACTGTGAAAGTGGAGAAAGAGACGACGCGGCCTGCGGTAGGGAGAGGAGAAGGGGCAGGCTATGTGGAGAAAGACGCGTCCAGCGTCCTGGACGCATGCGTCCAGACGCATGCGTCCAGACGCTGGACGCTAGTTTAGGGCCCCCGAGACGCAGCAAAAGACGCAGGTCCGGGCAGCCAAAAAAAACCCCCCGGGCAGCCAAAAAAAAAGTTATAGGGCAGAGGGAAGAGGGGATAAGAGGGGGGGGGGGGGGGGGGGGGGAACACACTTTCATAGCAAGGTGAATTAGATGGCTGGTTTTGGGGGTCGAATTTGCTTGGGGGGTGTCGAATTTTGGCGAAATTGACATTCGCGACGAAATCGCGAATGTCAATTTCGCGATCGCGAAAAAAAAAAATCTCGGTCTGCCCGAAAAAATTTCCAGGGTGCGTCCTGCGTCCGGACGCGCGTCCTGCGTCTTTGCGTCCGGACGCTGCGTCCGGACGCAGGACGCAGGGCTGCCCCAGCGTCTTTCTCCACATAGGGGGCAGGTTAGGCAGGCTTTCATGTGAACGGGAAGGGGGTGCTGTCGATTTCAGCTTGTGCGAGCCGGCGCTGTCAAAGTCGAGGAAGAGACGGTGGGACCTGCAGTGGCGAGAGGAGAAGGGCCAGGTTAGGTAGCTCTTCATGTGAAGGGGAAGGGAGTGCTGCGGATTTCAGCTTGTGTGAGCCAGCGCTGTCAAAGTGGAGAAAGAGACGACGCGACCTGCAGTGTTGGTGAGTTGTGTGTGGTAGAGACAGAGAGGGGCCAGGTTGGGTAGCCTTTCGAAGAACGGAAGGGGAGTGCTGTCGCGACCTGCAGATTGTGCGAGCCGACGCTGTCAAAGTGAAGGAAGAGACGGCGCGACCTGCAGAGGGGAGGGGAGAGGAGAAAGAGAGAGAGAGGGAGGGTGTGGACAGGCAATGCATGGAAGGGAGCAGATTGTGCGAACCAGCACTGTGAAAGTGGAGAAAGAGACGACGCGACCTGCGGTGGGGAGAGGAGAAGGGGCAGGTTAGGTAGCCTTTCAGGTGAAGGGGAAGGGAGTGCTGTCAATTTCAGCTTGTGTGAGCCGGCGCTTTTTTAAGTGAAGGAAGCGACGGTGGGACCTGCAGTGAGGAAACGAGGGGAGAGAGAGACAGATTGGGTAGCCTTTCAGGTGAAGGGGAAGAGAGCGCTGTTGATTTCAGATGGACGGGAGAAGAGAGCGCGAGACGGTGCTGTCAAAGTGAAGAAAGATCCGCAGTGGCGAGAAGAGACAGGTCAGGTTGGGTAGCCTTTCAGGTTGGGTAGCCTTTCAGGTTGGGTAGCCTTTCAGGTTGGGTAGCCTTTCAGGTTGGGTAGCCTTTCAGGTTGGGTAGCCTTTCAGGTTGGGTAGCCTTTCAGGTTGGGTAGCCTTTCAGGTTGGGTAGCCTTTCAGGTTGGGTAGCCTTTCAGGTTGGGTAGCCTTTCAGGTTGGGTAGCCTTTCAGGTTGGCTAGCCTTTCAGGTTGGGTAGCCTTTCAGGTTGGCTAGCCTTTCAGGTTGGGTAGCCTTTCAGGTTGGGTAGCCTTTCAGGTTGGGTAGCCTTTCAGGTTGGCTAGCCTTTCAGGTTGGGTAGCCTTTCAGGTTGGCTAGCCTTTCAGGTTGGGTAGCCTTTCAGGTTGGGTAGCCTTTCAGGTTGGGTAGCCTTTTGTGAAGAAGGGAGTGCTGTCAAGTTCAAGTTGAGGGAGCAGGCTTTGTCAAGGTGGAGGTAGAGGCAGTGGGGTGGGGCCTATACTGCAGAGCAGACGAACGGAGAGAAAGAGAGAGAGTGTGTGGGCAGGCAGGCACTGCATGGAAGGGGAGCAGCTTGTTCGAACAAGTGCTGTCCGTCGAAATGGATGAAGAGGCAGTGGGATCCATGGTGGGGGCGAGTGGAGAGGCACGTGATAAAGGTGAAAATTTGAGACGTCTCAAAATGGATGAAGAGGCAGTGGGACCTATGGTGGGGGCGAGCGGAGAGAGACAGGTTGTGGGCAGGCCAGGCATGGAAGGGAGTTGATTGTGCGAGCTGGCGCTATCAAATTGAGGAAGAGGCAGTGGCACCTACTGTGGAGGCGAGCGGAGAGAGACAGAGGAAAAGTGTGAGCAGGCAATGCACATAAAAACAAACTCCCTCCGGAATCCCTGGGGAGCTGGCACCAGCATCAGCAGGCTCCAGTACGAGCCGGCATGTGTGCGAGTGTGGAATTGTAGTTGGTGCTGACCTTATAGGAAAAGAAACAGTCGTGTGATATGATATCCCAAGGCCAGTAGGATGTTAGCATTACACCAGCCCTAGCTGACCTGATGAAGAGGAGGAGACTCCAGCCAGTGCGAGCCTGCCTCTACAAGTGTGTGGCTGTTGTTGCTGTTGACCTTATGGGGAACAGCAACGGACGTGTGTTGCTGCAAGGGCAGTGGCACCAGCCCTAGCTGACCTGATGAAGAGGAGGAGACTCCAGTGCGAGCCTGCCTCTGCGAGTGTGGGGTCGTTGTTGTCGTTGACTGCCAGGGCGATGAGCTGCCACGCAGAGGCAAGCAAAGGGAGAGGGGGAGAGGATAGGGAGGAAGTGAGGGGGAGCAGCATTGAACGAGTGTGGGGTCGTTGTTGCCATTGACTGCCAGGGCGAGAAGCTGCCATGAGAGGATATGTTGAACAAGGCAAGCAGTGAGGGCAACAGAAAGGACGGAGGGCAGTGAAGCAAGGGGAGAGGGGGAGAGGAGAGAGGGGGGCAATAAGGGCAAAAGAAAGGGAGGAGGGCAGTGAAGCAAGGGGAGAGGGGGAGGGGAGAGAGAGAGGCAGTGAGGGAGGATATGTTGAACGAAGATGACGCTGAGCCTGCCTCGCTGAAAGTGTTGGGTCATTGTCCGTTGACTGCCAGGGCGATGAGGGGCCGTGAAGAGACGGGGAGCAGGGGAGAGGAGAGCGAGGCAGGCTCAGCGTCGAGGAAGGATATCTTGAACGAGGATGGCACCGAGCGAGCGCTTTTTGTCGCTGACGCGTCAGGAGCTGCATTATAGGAGGCGAAGGGAAGCCGAGAAGGAGGAGGCAGGGAAGGAGGCAGTGAGGAGGAAGCAAGGAGGAAGCGAGGAGGAAGCGAGGAGGAACGAGGAAGCGACCAGGAAGCGACCAGGAAGCGACCAGGAAGCGAGGAGGAAGCGAGGAGGAAGAGAGGAGGCGGAATGGGACGGCTCCGAATGCACTGGTACTGCCGTTCCTCCGTTCCCTCCGAAAGCTTGCCGTCTTTCCACTTCTCTCATGCACCCACCACCACGAAAACCACCTTCCACCCAATGACACCCACTTGCCGTACCTCCTTGTTCTCCACGGCCAGGAGAGCCATGGAAAAGCCATGAAGCAGTGCGGGACAAAAAACGGATGTGAAATGAATCGAAACGCATTTTCCTGCCTGCGTACGCTCCCTACCTCCTTGTTTTCCACGCCCAGAGGAGCCATGGTCTCCGGGATATCATCGTCACCGACGGCCCCACCAGCAGCACGGCGCTGCTGCTACCCTCCCCTCCCGTGAAGCAGTGTGTGACAGAAACGGAAGAAATCAATCGGAACGCAATGTCCTGAGTGCACGCACTTTGAGAGGTCTCAAAACACGAAATCAATTGGAACGCAATGTCCTGAGTGCACGCACCTCCTTGTTTTCCACGCCCAGGGGAGCCATGGTTTCCGTGACGTCATCGTCGCTCGGACAGATGTTGAGCCAAAACGACACCGACGGCCCCACCAGCAGCACGGCGCTATTGTTACCCTCCCCTCCCGCCGCAGCACCAGCACCGCCACCGGCGCCGTTGCTGCTGCTTTCTCCTCCCGCGCTGCTGCTAGCTGTCCCAGCGGCAGCGCCAGCGCCGGCGGCAGAAGCGGAGGGGTCGGATGCGCCGAGGAGGGTTCGCGAGAGGTATTCGAAGTAAAATTCGATAATTTTGTCGTTAAGCCATTGCGACGGCTCCAGCGTCGCCACGTCGCACTCGCGCAGAAGAACGTCGCCGAAGCTCAGCACCTTCGCATCCATGATCGCCGGCGATGGCGATGATGAGGTGACGGTTCCGAGATGTGACAATAACGGGAGGTGAAGGTCAATATCGAGAGACGAGCGCTCTCCTGACAAAATTATCGAACGAATATTCGAGTAAAGAATGTCACGTGGATGGTGAAGTGAAGAATGCGGTAATTATCTAATGACTTAACAAATAAAAGAATGTGAATGAATGCGGTGATTTTTGCTGCCTGTACGCTACTGCAGATGAGTCCCCACAGCTGAGAAAAGAAACTCGAGCAGGAAATTTAGACCAGAGCACTGCCACTAGCAAAAAGCAGATTCTTCAGTCGACAACATCCCCTGCCATATTCCCCACCTGCCAAACATCGCCCAGAATCAAAGTTAGTCTCCCGGGGTGGAGCCTGGGAACTGTAGCTTGGGATGAGGCTGGAGTTGGAGGGGTGCTCTGCTGGTGGGAATGGTTGGTGGAATTCCAAATCCTCGACTGAAGCTTCCCTGTATTGTACACAAGCGGCCTCGTAAAAGGAACTTACGTACTCCACACCACACTCCTGCAAGGGTTTGTGATTGAAAGAAACAAAGTTCACAAAGACCTTAAATTGCACAAAACATTCTTGACTCCAATCCAACCAATCTTGGCACAATACGTACTCCAAACTCCAGCAAGGGTTTTTTAATGCACAATGTTACACCCATTCACCCAACCCAAGTGTTCACAAGTTACGTTCAATGGTGAAGAAATGGCTGCCCATGTTTGTTGCGATCAGATGTTGATCGTACCTAGGATCACCTCAGGAAGGTTCGCACACGTCTGAGTAGTGGTGGGCCCTTGACCTCAATAGCAGAGTGGATGTAAAATGCTTGAGATGATTGAAACATGCAAGTACAAAGTTATAAATAAGAGTACAAGGGAATTCGAATCGACCTAGGCTAGCCATATACTCTAAGGGGTACATTCCCTTATTGCAGCGAAACCCAACCGTGCCTGGGAAGAATCCTCACCACTGCTGCTGCCTGATGCTGTCTGTCTGACGGTCCAGATCCCTTCGTAACCGTACGACCCTTCGCATCACTTCCACCTCTTCGTCTTCAGCCTCGGTAGTGTGTGATGTGGTAAGGAGTGCACAGTAATGCTTCATCTTTTACTATTCATAACACCCCCCTTCACTCCTGGCCGTAGCGAGTCTTGACCCGCTGACTACTCCGCTGAGCTCGGAGCAGTGATGGTACTGCTGACGTGACAGTCGCTTCGTGAGGAAGTCGGCTGCCATGTCACCCGTCGGACAATAGGTGAGGTCAACCTTGCCCTTGTCGACTTCGTCCTTGACGAAGAAGTACCGCAGCGGGATGTGTTTTGTGCGGTTGACGAACCCAGGCTTGTTCGCGATCCTGATCGCGCTCTGATTGTCGCAGTGCAGGCAAAAATTCGCCGAGGCTGGAATTTTCGCCTCCTGCGGCAGCTCCTGAATGTAGAGGCCTTTGCGAACGGCTGCTGTTGCTGCGATGAATTCAGCTTTCGCTGATGACAGGGCACCCAACTCCTGTTTCTGCGAATTCCAGGAGATGGGGCCGCTGGGCTCGAGGCGGAAGAGGAGGCCTGTCCTGGACCGTCGATTGTCGAGGTCAGCGGCATGATCAGCGTCCACGTAGCCGATGAGGTTGAAGGACGAGGTTGGGATGGTGGAGTAGCAGAGCCCAACATTGGGCGTGGAGATGAAGAATTGAAGTGCCCGCTGAAGATCTAGCAGATTCTCAGCCGTTGGTTTGCGAGAGTACTGAGCCAACTGGCTCGCGATGTTGGAGAGATCGGGCCTGCAGATAACAGAGGCGAAGAGTAGGCATCCCAGCTACTGCTGGTAGGTATGAAGCCCAGCAGGGGACAGAGCTTTGTTGTCAGGCTTGTGGTTGGGTCCTGGGGTGCGGTAAGGGGTGGAGAGTGGTACAGGTGCAATGTTGAAGTGCTTGCCAAGTTCCTCTGCATACTTGGCTGCTGAGAGATGAATGGCTTCTGTCGAGTAGGAGATGTTGAGCCCCAGAAACTGCTTCACGTCGTGGTTGCAGGTGATGTCGACGCGCCCTGCAAGACTTTTCTCGAACTGCTCAAGCAGTTCGTTGCTCGATCATGTGTAGAGGAGATCGTCGACATAGACCGTGAGTAGAATGTATTCGCTGCGGAAATCGCGGCGATACATGCCGGGATCGTGAGGTAGCTGCTTGAAGCCTATCTCAAGCAGGATGTTGTGCAGGTACTGCTGCCAGAGCCTTGGCGCCTGTTTAATCCCGTAAAGGGACTTTCGCAGCTGGCACACACGTGAATCTCTCTCGCCGTATGTGTGTGGCTGCTCCACGTAGATTACAGCATCTACTAACGCGTAGAGAAACGCGTTCTTCACATCAATCTGGCAGAGCGGGAGGTGTCGTGCGGCAGCGATGGTGAGGAGAATTCTGAAGGAGGTATGACGGCTGACCGGCGCAACCGTCTGGTCGAAGTCGATGCAGATGGCATGGCCTAGAAAAGGTGTCACGTACGACCTAGCGCGCCTTGAATCGTTCAATCGTGCTGTCCGCTGCGGTTTTAACGTGGAAGACCCATTTCCCGGAGAGAATCCTTCTCCCCTTGACTGCCGCTCAATCGACGAGCACCCAGGTATCGCGGGACTCAAGTGCCTTGATTTCCGCATCCATCGCTTCGCGCCATTCCTTGCTGTGTGGTCCCCTGAGTGCTTGACGCGGGTTCTTCGGCTTGATGACACGCGACGCCGTTGACATGGCGGTGTGGAGCCCGAGAAGTTGAAGTCCGGAAACGGTGCTGTCGTGGCGTTGCTGCGGGATGACTTCCTGCACGTCGTCATCCTCGCTTTCCGGTTCAGGTGGTGCTGGTGGTGCTGCGCCTCTGCCACTTCCGCTTCCGCCTCCGCCTGCTGTGCCTGCTCCTCCTCCAGAAGAATCGTCGTTGTGGTGATTGCCTCTCGTGAACTCGCCTCTGGGGTCCTGCTCCATAATGGTTGCTGCAGCTTCGTCCTTAGGTGAGGCGTAGCTGTGTCTGTCGTTGGCGTAGACGCAATTCGCGTTCGCCTGCTCGTCTTCGCGAAATTGCCAAAGGAAGAGCCGGCCGTAGAAGATGACGTCACGCGCATTCTGGATCTTCTGACTCATGAGATTCAGGATGAGCCATGCTTTGTGTTCGTGGCTGATGCCGAGGTGAATCCCCCTGAGCATCGATGTGATGCCCTTGGTCCCTGTCCATTTCACATGCGATGATGAGTTGCCGGTGATGGCCGTGGTCGACAGTAGGTTGTCCACTCGCACGGCGTGGTGCATTGCGTAGGTCCAGTAGGTTGGCGGAAGCTTCGACTGCTTCATCAACGCCCGTACCTTGGTCATGAGCGTGTGGTTCGTGCGCTCGGCTACGCCTTGCTGCTGGTGCGCGTAGGGGAGGGAAGCATGATGCTCAATTCCCTTCTTTGCCAGGTAATCCTGCATCTCCTTGCTCCTGAACTCTGTTGCGCAGTCAGATTGCCATATTTTCAGTTTCTCCCCGGATTGCCGCTGCGCGTGTGCCAACCATAGACGAAGCATTCCGTATGCTCTGTTACGCGCTTCCACGTTTACGACCCATACGTAGCGCGTTCCAGGGTCAACGAAGGTGAGCGTATACAGCTCATCGTTAATTCCGCAGAGTCCTACGTTGAGGAAGTCACTATATACCTTCTCCAGTTTTGCGTAGCGGTTGGTTTCGGGCTCGAGCAGGGGGAACGGTTGGTGGCTTAGCGCGGCTTCGGGGCAGACGATGCAGTTGCGCGAATGTGTCGCGCCCCTTACTTCGATGCCATCAGGGCGCAGGAGTGCGCCAGGCGCAAACACGCCGGCCTCGATGTAGTTCTTCAGCGTTACGCGCGAGGGGTGACCGAGGCGCTGGTGCCAGATGGTATCGTCGGCGCGGAATCCAATGGTCCGCATGTAGCGCGCGTGTGCTTTTGCGGGGTCCTCGTCAGGTTCTTGGGCAGGTTCCGCCGTTGTTTCTTTAGCTTCATCATCTCCGTTCGCCGTCGTCAGCATCAGCGCAAGAAATTCCCTGTCAAGAATGTTGGAGAGGGGAATATTAGTTCTAGGGATAGTTCTGGGGAAGAAGGTTGGTTCGCGTGGCTTGGGGGCAGGTTCGTAGACACTGCGACGCGGAGTAGAGGGCTCGTTGCCCCGGTCGATGGTGTCCCAAGGGTCACTTCCTGGCTGGATGTTAGGTGGGGGTAGTGTAGGTGCAGCGTGGCGCGGAGGGCGACCAAGGGGAACAACAGGAGGTTCCGCCTCGATTTCCTCTTCTTCCCCCCTTTGGTCCTCGCGGGAAGCCCCCCAGCCTTCGCCGGAAGTGCCCCGTCCTCTTGGCTCGCCGCCAGATGCGGCGCCCCATCTGCCGGTGTTGCCACCGGTTGCTGCTCCCCATCCGCCGGTGTCGCTCGTGCCCCATCCACCGGCGCTTCCCCACCCCCCTTCATTGGAGGGACTCTCCTCTTCTCCCCATCTGCTCCAGATGAATGTGCCGCGCGATTCCGCAAGACTCTGTTGGCGAAGCTCTTCCACTTCGCGACGCGCCAGTTCCTCCTCTTGCGCCACGATAAGTTTTTTTGTAGAGTCGCGCTGGTGAGAGTAGATATCCAGAAATTTCTCCTTTGTGTAGGGTCGTGGGACTCCGTGTGCATCGAAGGTGCCGACGCTGGTGCCGCGCAGCATGCCCCAAAGATGTTGTGATGCAGGTCTGGGGGGGGGATTTTCCTCCGTGCCGAAGACGACGCGTGTGGCAGTTTCAAGCTCCAGGTTGGACAGTCCTTTGACAGGCAGTGCTTCCCACTCTGTTTCGGCGATGGTGGCAAGACCACGGCCGGCAATCGCGCTCGTTGAGACTGTGGGCGTATGGCAATCTCTGCAGATGCCGTCGGGGTCGGGGTCATGCAGCGCCACCTCGTGCGGGTGAGCGTGATGCGGCACCCACGGTCTTCCGTCTGGATGTTTCGAGT